TTATTCGCGAGTTAAATATATTTAACTAGTAGGTAGGCCTACAATTTATGTTCATAGACAGAGTAGGTAATTCTATATTACCACTTGCACTTCAGATCAACGTCTAGTGAGATTCGACCATTTAGAAGTTACTGTATATAATGTGCAAATGCTGAGAAGTTTGTCAGATCACCTCTATATTAATTTTTGAAGGCCTAGTATATGAATCTCCTCTTTATTTTTTTATGATATTGCCTTACCTCAACAATGGATGAGCCAAACGATTGTTATCAGGAATAATGATTGATTAATGTTCGTTTATCAAGCTATAAACCCAGGAAACACGTCTCCGGTTAAAGTGTATGTTACTGTTTTGTGCAAAGATTATAGTCTATTATCTATAACAAAAACGAATAAACAACATGCTATGGGATTTTCAAATTGCTGGAAAAGCACTTTCCTGCATTTGCAGACGTCTAATGAATGAATACGAATTCGTATTTTTCCATAATATACTATGAAAAATTAATAATGATGAGGGAGGAGGAGTCTGGAGGAAAATCTACATACGGGCGTCGTCGGAGTCGTTGCATAAAAGCGAGCTCATAGTGTGAACCCGCCACCCCACCCCGTTGGCCTCAAAAAGTCCAGTGTTTCTTATGTACTGGAAGACTAATATGGTTTAAATTTAAATTTTTTCCAAGTAATACAATATTATACACTTATTAATTAGATATCTTCTTAGTTTTTCATTATTGTTTTTAAATTCTTTTTCCACTTCTAGCCTGTTTGATTTGAAATGTAAATGCCATTCCTGTCGTTACCCTTCTGCCGATACCGTGTTCACTTGCAGTCTCTCAGGTCTCGGTGATAATTTTTTACTTTTTTATTAGAAAAAAAAAATCAGCTTTTGACTATGTTTTAGGCTCTAAACTAAATCTACATTTTTCATAGCATTCGTTAAAATATTAAAATAATTAATTAAAAAGTAATAGTCATAGTTTGTTAAAATTCGATTGTTGATTAATAATACATTGTGACATACCGTATCGCATTTATTCGAATAAACACCCCCACTAGAGCCTCATTTGGAATAAAAGTCCTCTCTCAAATAATCTCCCCTAAATGTCTGTAACAAATCTAATGGAGGCAACATCATTCTCAACACATTCTATTAATGCTCTACTCCAGTATAATTACAATTTTTCTAACCTGGTTGGCATTATTATGGTCACGCAGTAACACATTTTTACGATAATTATGTCTTGTAGTTTTCACATTTACATAGAAATTAAGGGACGTTTATTTGAGAATATGTATCTATTTTACACACACACACACACAAACATAAAAACCTCTCTAATAAACTCCTCCCTCGAAAAAACGCCCCCCACCCAAGACCCTGGGTTAGCATATTAACCACTAAGCTATTCAACTCCACACTAAAATGCAAGGTGATCTTAAGGATTATAAGTTTGAGGAGTAGAATTTATTCATTAGAACGATAACATAATTGCACAATATATATAATTCACAAAAGGAGATGGATAATTTATGGCCGGAAAAACAATATACACTGCACTCATGCATGGAATGTTACGTATTAAATAATATATAAACGCCCTCTATAATACACGTATAGTCATTGACTCTTCAAACTATAAGAAAGATAAGCCTATGTGCCTCTGAGACTCGAACCTGGACGACGGTATATCAATACATACATACACCTGTATTATATATATTGTAGGCCTATAACGAAATAATATATTGAAATAAAACAGTGACAAGGTAATAAGATAAGATAAACTGTATTGCTCAGAAATAGGAAATTCAGTTCTCTCATACAATAGACAGTAAAAATATTACAACAATTATCAAATGCAATAAAATATAATTTCAATATAAAATACATATCAAACAACAACCATTAAAAATTTACAACAGTCACCAAAGCACTAAAACAACAGCAAAAATTCTAAAAACTAAGACAAACAATATAATTTGAAGTTATTGCAATATTATTATTATTACTATTATTATTATAATTATTATTATATTACAATTATCATTATTATTATTATTACCATTTCTTCATCATTATTATTATCATACTTCATCTTTTAAATTTTTTGTTAAAAGCTCTTACACCCTGGGGAACGAAGGAGGACGAATAACGGCATCTGTGCGCTGCCGGTGGCCTCAGTCTACCACTTCGGACAATCTTATACTCAATAATTTCAGAGTGAAGGGGATGGGTCACGTCCTTAATGATGCTCTGATACACCTTCTCAAACCGGTTGTGATAAACCGACAGCCAACACAAACCAGTCACTCTCTCAACCTTTCGGATCAGACGATTGATTCTTTCGTTGTCACATATAATGAACTCACAGTCACTCATTGAAAAAAAAAATCTAAAAAAATGTAGGTCCTTATTGGCGTCTGTCTTAGTTGCCTTAAGTTTTAGAATTATGGAAATTCAGTACAAGTCTTTCTTAAGCAGGCATAATGGGCCACAAGTCCTCTATCGAAAACAAGTATAAACTCTCAGTCTCCATAAATTCCAACCAAGGAGACCGTGCTAGTATAAACTGTATCCGATTTATATTGTTTACTAATGGATATAAATATCTTAATATAGAAGGCGTTATGATTTAATGGATCATAACATTTTTAGATGCATAATGCTGCCGCTTTCACATCAAATCCGAACCGAATTTCGAAACGCGTTCATTACCATATGGACAACGGCGTCTACAAGTCTAGGGGATGGGCTAAACGCAGGTGTCCCTATTCTTACATAGTGATCCGATTTTCTAATTGGTTCGGTAGGATTTCCGAGGACCTGTGTAAATTTGCTATGGTGAAAATTAAACTGGACGAAGAACTACATTATAATAGGCACCTCTAGATGCCCGGAAGCAGTCAGGTCCAAATATTGGTGTTACGACATGTCCATGTATAAAACATTATATTCATGATCATATTCATATTCGTATTCATATTTGTATTCGTATTCGTATTCATATTCGTATTCATATTCATTATTCATATTCATATTATTATTCGTATTCGTATTCGTATTTATATTCATATACGTATTCATATTTCAATTATCTATATAATTTACCAGAAGATAGCCGTCACAAATTTGTCATGAACAAATATGATGAAGAAACCAAAGTACATTAAGTAGGCCCTATAAGAAATTGGTGCCTGTCCAGCCCATGTTCGATCCCTGTTACATATATACGAATATATTTTGCGTTTCCTTTGCTAGTGTACAACTATGATGGCTGAGAAGTACGGTACAATTTCGTCTATTTTAAGCCTATAATAACCCCCGATCGCACGCTAGCGGCACCCCTGTATACATGTAGAATATTTTCTTTATGTTTTAAACCATGTTTGAACCCAGATACTGGAATTGAAATTAAAGCAAGTTTTTTTTAAACGTCCAATACAATGTTTAGGTCATTTTCAGGTCTAGGTTACCTCACCACTAAGACACTTCATAACTTTCAAAGAAAGTGGTAATTGAGTGTAGAAAGATTAGAGTCTATCTAGCCCCGCCACATACTTAAATAACAGAAGGTGGCATGTCGCAAATACATAAGACCGCAACGTATTCCACTGATATAACGAAAAACCGCTTTTAGTTCAATACAAGAGTTTTATGTATCCGTGTTCAAAATCGAAGCTGCTGTGAATATCGCTGCCAGAATGCTGGAATAGAACTTTAATATTTTCATATTTTATTACCTTTGTATATCATAATGAATTGCACTAACGACCCTTGATGTTAAATTTTTTTTTTCTTCTTCAAAGGCGGATTGGTCTCTGTTCAATACCGGAACAGCTACCGACATTCGACAAACCTTTAACAAATCCCACTTAGATGCTAGTAATAATACTTTAGCGTAAGGCCTACATTTGCAAATTTTACCGAAATGCATTTAAGGCCAAATTTGAAAAAAAAATTAAGAATCCTCTGTTTAACACAAGAAAATCCACCACGAACATTTCAATGTCTAAATATCGACAAACATCGTAACACCTCTGTAACGTTTTCTCTCACAACATGTTTCAGTTCACACTGAAGTAGGTGTTCATAATTCGTGGTACTGTATGTTAACGGTCAGTGAAGCAATGTCATATTTCATATCTATTTCATTTAATACGGATTTGCCAGATTACTCGATTGCTCATCCCCTTTTATCGCTTGTTTCTCCTTCCTTAGTTAAGATTTGTCTGTCTTTCATTTTCAAGAAAAAAGACAACGGTTGAGGGCAGGCAATTGCAGTTTTGCTCAGAGAGCAATCCCATGATACATCCTTTCATCCTTTTGACTCGGTCCCATTATCGAGGCAACAACTTACTTGACGAAGGTATTATTTACTGATTCTTCCAATATCACCTCCATCAACAGTTTCCATTCATAATTTTGCAATTCCCTGCCCTCCCTGACCTCCCTCCCTCACATGCGTAACTTCATGATGACTCACTTACACAGTGACATGCCATTATGCAACGTTTCCATAAAAATCAGTAATGGGCGCATATCTATGCCCCTTTGTAAGGGTTCAGAGCAATCGAGTTTTCTATTAAAATAATGTCCAAAGTTTAGATTGGATTCTGTCTTTCATTTATGGCGTAAAAATCTAAAAAAAAATATTAGATGAAATATTGTTTTTTTTTTGTCTCAATTTTCCACTAAGTTTGATGTGACTCATAATTTTGAATGGCTTTACTGATAACCGAAGGTATATTATTAACTAATTAATTATATGTATAACTCCATGAAGCAACCTTAGCGTTTGATCTAGATTACTCTGATCTAGTTGGTGAATCACGTCGTCTGCTTGACACATCGAGGTCCATTGGTCGTCCAATGAAAACGTCTGGGCAGCTAGTCCAAATTAATACGCTATCGCCAGGTCTTTCCTATTCATTTTCTGAACACTGAGCATTAAGTCTTTTGAGAAACTTCGAGACAGGGTTAGCACTAAGCAGACAAAATGCCAACCGAGGAAGTACCGATGAAGAAAACGGTTAAAGTCAAACATATAAAAACGGCAAAATCGAATAATCAAAACTCGAATGGATATACCCTCAATCTCTGCCGATTACGACCAACAAATTTTATCCTTGGATTGCTTATAGTGGGAATAACTTCAGTTGTTATTGGATTTGGCTTAGGATATGTTACTGCACCAAAACCTTTGCCTCCTCTCTACATCGATGTACCCGTTCCGTGTCCGTCCCTGGAAACCATACCGACACCGATACCTAAATTGGAGGAAGAAAAGGCAACAACAGCAACGCCGACGCCGACGCCGACACCGACGCCGACATCGACACCGACACCCACTACCTTACCTACTACTGAAAGTCCCGAATATATTACTAATAAATTAATCGAATCAATAAATGCTGACAAAATTAAGAAGATGTTCAAGTAAGTGCACTGTTTTAAAAACACCAATATTTATAATTTCCTTCGAATTAATAAGGCCTTGTTATTAATATTATTATTGTTACTATTATTTTTATTAAAATATTGTTATCATACTGTTAGTTTTATTAAGGCATTATTACTATTATTGTTATATTATTATTAATAAATATATTAACAATAATCATAATTATTATCATAATAACTAGAATAATTATGTACAGAAAGGAAGGAAATTGGGACACGTCATATTTATATAGATTAAGGATTTTGAATATTTTAAGCATGGAGGATATTTTTAAAGTATATCGACTAACGTTAGGTTTTAAAATAATGCATGGACAATGTCCATTGTCGTTTAATAATCTTGTGAGATCAAGTGAAAGGTGTGAAGGGCGATTAATACATTGGAAAGCCAAGACTAATACATTTTTAAATTCATCTATTTTTATTTTTCCTAGATTATGGGAACAACTTCCTAATGAAATTAAACAATGCACATCCATTTCGGACTTTAAAGCCCAGCTCACAAAACACTTGATCTCAAAATATTAATACTAATAATAACTATTAATT